ATGCTTACACATTAATAACCCGTCCGGTCCATAGACTTGACAATTTTGTGTTTTTTTGTTAATTTAAATATAAACGTTACAGTGTAGATCTTCACGGATTAAATTTTCTGTAGATATTCAGTTGGGCTTCACTCTCTTCTCTCAACCTACAGAAGACTATTTGTTTTTGTGAATTGAAAAATTAAAAATACACATAGTTGGATCAACTATGTGTTATGACAGGTGATGCTATGACCTACTGCACTTATAGGCCAATTCACCGTAGGTTTTTATATACAGGAGACTGAGTGAAATATGTTTTTGTGAATTTATATAAAGTCACATTTAGATATTAACTATATTTAGCCCATTAGACATGCAGTCCCGTGTAATAATATGGATCCTCGATGAAATATCTGCTGTACTATTCTATTGGTCATCATACAGCTACAAAACAGTGTCCTACACAGCATTTTATGAAGACAAACACAATTTATCCCTTTTCCCATGGGCCATTTAGAAGATATAGACAACATTGTTGTTCACAAAAAAATATTTATTAACACCATTTGTGAATTATGATGACTCCCCTATGGTTTGCCACTCTTCTTTTACTGTTTTTTTTTTCTTTTTCTTTAACTGCTCCTGCTCACTGATGAAACATTAAAAAATGAAACATTAAAAAAGTTAAAAAGGACATCCATGGTGAATTTGACCTTGTCCCTGTGTGTGTGTGTGTGTGTGTGTGTGTGTGTGTGTGTGTGTGTGTGTGTGTGTGTGTATTTCCTTAAGTAGCTAAACCAAACACACCTTTATGAGATCCAAGTTAAAGAGAACTTGGTAAAGACAGAGTATGATAAAACCCACATTAAGTGCACATACCTTTGAGTCCAGATCAGTAAGCTATTTTAAGAAAAAATGTATATTACTGTAAGATATAAATGAGATAATTAGATCATCTCATTTATAAGAAACAACTCAAACCAGAATCTACATTCAAACCATATAAGTTTTTAATGTGTTTTAACGTATTTGAGTGAGTGTGCAGTTTAACTCTTTACTTAGAGAGAGAGAGAGATTTACATATTATAAATGTGTCTTTTGTGTGTTCACACCATAGACTGTAAAAAAAATGCACATATTTCCATTATCTACTGTAATATTGCTCTATAAACCATGTGGAGTATGTTTTAATGCAAGGAGTAAACAGAGTCTTACCAGAAGAGGCCAAGCTAAAGACAGGCAACAAAAGAAAATTACAATTAATTTTAAATTGAGTAGAGAAGATAGGGGAAGCTAAACCTACACGTGGGAGTTAAGTTTAAGCCAGATAGAACAGAAACCTGTCAAAATACATTATAGACCCATCCATTGATATATAAATGAATTGATACCTACCCTAGCTCTATCGAGCTAATCGTTTATAAATAATAAATGTTGCATCATTGCTAAAAAAACAATAACTTTAGCAGATTATTTAACATACAAATGACAGAATCTATTTTTGTCAGATTTTAATTCTAACGATGTTAAACTTGATTATACGGTATTATTACTTTGTCTTCTGGGCAAGTTTCATCTTCATAAAGACAGAACCATTCAAAGTAATCCTGATTCTAGAATATTCTCCTCTGATATAAAGTTAATTTTTTTCTTCCTTTAAGAAAATGTCAGAACCTTTAAACTCAAAGGTTTATAAAACAAATAATACCATTGAGTCTGTTGTAAAGAACCTTACATGTTTTTATATTGACAAAATGTAATATTGCATTGATTTGTGTAACCTAATTCAATCTCTTTTGATGTCCGTTTACCCCCCTTGTTTTTTTGTTAAACAGATCATTTAATCCGTGCAGATCTACACTATAACGTTTATATTAAATTCACAAAAAAACACAAAATTGTCAAGTCTATGGACGGGTTATTAAAGATGAACTGAACTGAAAAAAAATCGACGTTGATAACGTGTTGTTTATGACAATTAAAAGTAAATTACACTAAAATTTTTAATTAAAAAGATCAATATAGCTTTTTTTAAGCAACACAAAAATTGCGCTTGTTACGCTGGCAGTTTCGATGACGTCACTGGCATGGTAGGACACGCAAAGGTGCATAGGCAACAGCTGCAGGTCCTAATACACAGACGAAAATGAGCACTTTTAACGGCATGGGTTACGCATTTGAACCTGTGAGGGACAGTCCAGTAGTTTCTGACTACCACCACCACATGGAGGATCAGTTTCAGGCTCCACATAGCCTACAGCACGTTTGGGGCGAAGTGACTGGTGTGGGTGTGTGAGCTGCCGGAGCATGGACACTGCACCGGAGTCACCGCGCAGCACTCTATTGCGTTGGGAGTGCACGTCTCAAGGATAGTGTCGGGAAATATCGCTCGGGCAGAATAAGCTCTAGTTCACTCTTCCTACGCTAAGGAACCGAGAGTTGTCATCCAGTCTCTTTGCTAGAGAGAGAGAGAGAGAGAGAGACGAGGAAAACAAACAAGCATGCAAATGGAAATAATCGCGGCCGGAAAAATTATCGAGCTAATTTTTTTTATCGTGCGATTAATTAATTTATTGACTATCGCGACAGGCCTACTAAATAGTCTGTCACTAAAAAATGCTCACTACAGACTCGAAATCCAGGGGCTGTCGGAGGGCTAGACAGTTAAAGGCAGCTAGCCTTGACTTGAGGGCTGGTTTCCTTGTCAAAGGTAGCCTGTGAAAATGTATCGTAACCCCAGCTGCCTTAGCCCTATACAATTCATTACTACAGCCAGGGGCAATACAGTATGATTTGAACCCCCTCCCCAAAAAGAAACTCATGACTTAAGGTCAAACCCAAAACAAAAGGGTAAACAGTTGATGGGTATTAAAAGCATGTTTTGTTTTATATATGTATAATAGCCTACATTTATAGCCTATAGCTTATTACCACAATAGTTAATTACATGAATCAGAACACATGTTTTCATCTAAAGAAGTTGCATTCAAATGAGGTAAAACCTAGGGATGGCTGACGCGAAACAGTCGTTCCGAAGCTTTGCGAGATCCCGAAGCGCAGATGATTCGAAACACTGATCCGAAGCGTGATTCAAAACACCCATGTCACGTGACTATGGCTAAATGAAGCTTCTGAGTGTTTCACAAGGGGGTAATCCATCGACCGGAAGTTGAAGCCGGACGGGTGCCGCCATGTTGTAGCAGAACTTCACTTGCGTTAGCATTTCCATTGACTCCCATTCATTTTTGCGTCACTTTGACAGCGAATAACTTTACATCTGAGGCGTTTAAAGACTCCATTTGTCCATTATTTATTTCTAAAGAAACACGACAATGTATAAAGGGCTCCATTACCTTCTATGTTACACTATGGCCCCGTAGAAACAGATTTAGTAAAAATAGGCTAACGATTGCGTCATAACCACTCGACTCTCTGTCGCGCTGTACAGAAATTACCGTACAGACAGCAGGAGAAGCTCGCAGGCAATCGGGGGGACGTCCCGTCAAGGGAGAAGCCCATAGATAATGAGTCCATAAAAGCAACGGAATTCTTACTCCTGCTCACTCACGCCAAAGAACTCTTTGCTCAAGTTCCCCGTCTCTGCAAGATTAACGTTGGCAGTTTTCACGCACAGCTACTAGAAGATTAACGTCTGTCAGACAGGTTGCTCACGTCATCAAGCTTAGTTTGAGTCGGTCTGAGTCTGCGCGTCAGGAACGGAAGTTCTCAAAAATCGCTAAAAGTGGGCTTCAACTGTCTCAACTGAGTTCCAATGAGATCGCTCTGTTTCATCATTTTTTCAAAGGCTGGAGAAATTATCTGTAAAAAAAGAAGTAGGCTGAGTCCTTCAATAGCAGAGAGATTGATATTTTTGAATAAAAATCTATAAGAAAGTGAGACATTGTGGCTTGATTTCTTTTATTCATTTTTCATGACCAAAATAACATTATGCAATGTTTAGAGACTACAGGTTACAAGCTTCATAATAGAAACATACAATAAAAATACAAATAAAAAAATAAAAACAGTTTTTTATTGGCTCGTTGTATTAAAAATCAAAGTTGTTTCAGATCAACACCTGCAAGTGACCACTAGGTGTCACCGTGGAGACGGGTGTCGGATTGATTCGAAGCCTCGAAACAATATGGCACGTTTGCTTCAACTGTTTCATTGCTTCACGAAGCCTCGATCTGCCCATCACTAGTAAAACCTTGGCAACCTTGGTAAAACAGTAGGTTGTTTACCACTTTGTGTCAGGATCATTATTGGACAAAAGAGAAATTTATACATACCGTAGGTAATTTTGATGCCAAATATGGCACATGTGTAGAACTACATCTCCAAGACATCTGAGCGCGTAATTTGAAAAACCATCTTAAAGCAGTTTTATATGCATTCAATTTCCAAATAATAAAGTTGCGAAAGTCTTTTCTTCCCTATTGTGACGGCTTCTCAACGAGAAAAAAATGTTGAGCGAGACTTTTTGTTCATCGAGAATTGATTGGATCATTTTGGTTAGCTATTGTTGTGATTGGTTGACCGGCTGTCCCGCCCTCGCGCCAGTAAACATGTAATCAGGAGAGATTTGCAAACGGGAGGGAAAGTTATTTTGATTAAAGATTAGGGCACATTAATAAAAACAATTGTGCCTTGATAAATCATTTATAATAAATAATGCAATATTTCATGGTAACTTTTAGCACATGTTCTAAATGTCTATTTAACAGCAACGTTCTGGAGACATGCATGCGCAAACGCCCTCAATAAATAGCATCTTCCAGACGTCTATGTGATGTTTGCGCGAGGCAACCCTCAGGAGATTGCGCCCTAAATATGTCCTATAAAATCATTTAAAGGTCGATCACTTGCCTTCCTCAACCCAGGCAAGAGCAGTGGTCTATGGTATGAACTATGAAGCAATGATGAGCTCCGTGAGAGCCGGGGAGGAGTCTAGCCTCGCTACACAGTCAGGCGCGCGTTCGAACATCACAACATATTTACATGTACGTGTCATGTCCACTAACTTACTAAGACTACGGCAGCTCACAGTTTAAGAAATATCTTTTTGAAAATCGGATGAGAAGAAATTAAAATTTTGAGAGAAATTGGAATCACCTTCACTCTCATTCTATAGACATTTTACCGAATATACTTTCGTCGAGAGTTTTCTTCTAATTTGCCTCAGAGATTCGATAAAACCGGATTCTTTTGTTGAGCAGTAACGAGCAGGTAAGACTTTCACGCGCTTTGCATTAAAAATAAGTTTGTTCAACTATTACTACTTTTAACGCAATATTTCTTGCATAACTGCCACATGGTTCTCTTTAAATGCTTTGTGCAAATGTGTGATCTGTTGTTCCAATCGATCTGTTCAAAAACAGGTGATTGTATCACGTGCCGATATACATGCAGCATCGAATGCATTTTTTATTTTATTTTTTTTATTTGTTTTTTGCTCTTTCTTTGTTTAACATTTACAAGAATGCAGTCTTGATTAAATCGGCTGCTGGAGCACGTGACCATCTATATCACATTACTGCTCCTTGGGAGTTGTTTTGCAAACGACGTTTTAAATCACGTACTCCTAAGAAGTTTTACTGTTCTATAGAATTAGTAGTGTTTATGGGAGAAAGCTTTCCTGCTGCCACCAAGCAATTCAGTAAAACCCTACAAATGTGGGTTAAATGGGGGAGGGGGCTACTGTGTCTTAGTGCCAGAATTGTATATGGGACTCCTCCTCCTCAATATTTATCCTGTGTAGAAAGGTTTTAGTGACGCATCTGTGCAATAACTGTACTTTACTGTGGTCTTTCTGTACACAAATGAATTAGGTTTAATCTAAGATGTTCAGAGACCACTGAAGTCTACGCAATCAATTGCTGATTAGACAGTGTGGGTTTTGAGATGGGCATTATGGTGTGTGTTTTGGAGTTACAGCTGAAACGAACACTTATGTCTGTAAGGCTTAAGCCACTCACCAAATATCATCTGAAATGCCACACCCTACAGGCATGTTCCTTGGGATCCTTATACCACCGTTTTGAGGTGGTCCTCCAAAAATAGAGCCCTTTTGCCATTCTTGGCAACAGGAGACAGAAACATGCTGGGAACTGATCTTTTTTGTACAGGGCATTTTCAGCTTTTAGATGCAATGTCTGAAATGCTCCATCTATTAATCACATTTATTATTTTCTGTGGAAGTTCAATTGTTTAAACGTAATACAAAAGAAAACATTTGTCACTCATCCAACAAACAGTCACCCACAACTTCCAGGATTTCAATTCAGGTTTAAAGTGATTTGTTAAATGGTGAAAATAACTTCATTTTACACTTGTTTTCAAGTAAAATGAGGGAAGTGAGACATCTTTAGTCAGGTTTTTGCTTCCCACAAGAACTGAAGCATGTGTGTGAAATTTTGCAGGGATTCAAGACAGCCCAGTGTCTCACACGCACTTGTTTTTTTTGTTTTTTTTCAGACAAGATGGAACTTTGTGTTGCTGCTGCAGTGTTTTTGTCCTACTTCGCTCCAGCTCTGGGTAAGTGCTGTTACTTTTGTTCTTTATTTGCTTTACTGTTTATTTTATTTTTTTATGGGGCTTTTTACAGACACCTTCTCTACTCTGATAAATCAGTGTTTTTATATAAACTAGAAAGTCTTCCTCAAAAATGTTCAAGAATTTAATTCGACCGAACAGTATATTAAAAGTATTATTGTCCTGCGCAGACTTCCCCTTAGAGATTAACGGTAGGCCTATGTGTGTATGTGTGCAGGATCAGCTTTTGGCAGGGAAATGCCAGGTAAGTGTGTAGACTAGAGGGTTAGTGACGCACTGCGATGTGAGTGATAAACAAAGATGAATTTCAAGTTTTTCTGTGCTTCTGTTTTGTATCGAGGCTTTTTCTGTTTATTTTTGTTTCATAAAACTTGACTGCAGCTGTTGCACTTGACTGTTTTTCTGATACTGGAGCAGCTTGTGCAGGTTTGGCTTAACAGATTTTTGGCACGTTTCTCAAACGGTTCCACCGTGTCTTGTTTCTACTTATTACACCTTTCCCTGAAGGGTTTTTCTGAAAAGCCCATGAAGTAACACTACTCTCGCACTACAAGGCTTGAGACTTTTTGTGTGCCAAATGCAGCTCATGTTGTACCTAACCTTGAGTAGATGCAGTTTTGCTACTTCTTAAGATTGATTGACCTTGCAACATTTCAAGTATTGCTGTTGGAATGTTTTCTATTGAGATTTGTCCACTTTTAGTAGTTTCAGTACTGTGAATAAGGCTAATCCTTTGGATTTCTGCGAGAATTGTTGCATTCTCAGACACTTATTTTGGGTTGTTGCCAAAACCAACATTTGAATACACCATTTAAGCACGATTTAAGTCAGACTGGCCAGTGTGTGTACTCATGTAACTACTGCACACATAATCATGCATGTGTAATGGTTTTTGTCCACAAAGTATTTGCATCAATGCTTTGTCCATTGTTTTTGAAAGGGATGGAGGGAGAGAGAGAAGGAGAGATCATTATGGATAACCAAAGTCTTAGTCAGACCATTCATAATGTGTAATGGGAGATTTGGAGCGATGCCTTCAACATTTTTGTTTACAGAGAGAGCAGCTTCTCTGAAAAGACTCTTTAAAAACATGTTGCTCTATTTTTACTCCACTGATAAATTTGTGACATAAAATGGGGACATATAATCCTAAAGTAACTTTTCAGGCAAATGCCTGTTTAATACTAAGAAGTATTTGAGAAGAACTTTATAAACATGTCAAATATTAGAGAATTAGGCTATTGTTTATTCTCTAGTTAACTCTTGAAGATATTTTTTTGTCTTGTTTCATTGAAGAATATAGCGATTATTATGATTTTTTTCAGAGAGGAGTTCTTAAAACCTGTTTAATAAGGCTCATAGTTAATTTTTTTAATATAATTTTTTTTTTTTTTATCTGGCATAATAAAATGAAGCGATTCAGATTGGCTGTCACAGTCTGAGCATTTCTCTTGTCTACCATGCTTGTACACATGCTTTTTGAAGATTGCCATATTTTAGACGGTTTTATGGCTGTATGTGTGTCTGTGTCCAAACATCTTTACTGTTGAAATGTAGTGTGCAACCATAATGTTAACACTAGTGCACTGGAATGTTTAGCTGCCAGTTTTATATTAAGCAGTTTTAGAATCACTAAGACCTATATTAATTTTAATTGCACAAATTAAATAGATTTGTTCCTCTGCACTTAGAATAACAAGAGAATCTAATAGTTTTGTTCTAATTTGTTTTGTTTGACTGGCATAAACAACAATTTTGCTTGGTTAGATTTTAATTGAAACCTATTCTCTCCATCAGCTTCCAAAATGGATGAAGTTCACGGTAAGTGTCTTCTAGTCTACAATAGTTTACGTTAACCAAACGTCTTATTGGCTTATTAACATTGTTTTTAGCCAGGCTAGACCAGGTTTATATATTGTGTGCCTTGAAACAGTGTGTGTTTGACACTATAAGCTTTTAGTTAACAATGGGTGCAAAAATTATGGAGTCACCAGTCAGAAAGCTTTTATCCTCTTACAGTAAATTCCATACAGTATCCATTTTTCTATAGCATTCTGATATTTGAGAAATGGCTTGCAGATACGTAGATATATTTTTTAATGTTTTGGCTCTAGAATGTCATTTATCATCTTAAATTCTCCTGATATTTTGAATGCTACCAGTAGATTTTTTTTTTTTACATCTTTACCGAGTTTTGACTCGTTATTTTCATTTCTTTCTCCCACCAGAGTTCGACAAGCCATTTCATTATGGTGAGTATAGATGGACTTTAGCTGCTTAGCCAGTATACATACTTATATGGATTAAGGAAATCTCTTGGTTGACTTCATAAAGCTGATAGGGAAAAATGCTAGTAGGGTACAATGGGGCTAAAGGCACATCTTAAGTAAAATGTGCTTTTCACTACTCCCATAGTGTATGATTGCAGAAAAAAAAGAGATTTTGTAGTAAACATTGATTCACTACAAAATTTGATTGTCATTAAAATGTTAATATAAAAATATATTTAAAAAATGCAGAAATAAAATTATTTTGAAAAGTAAAGATTCTGAAAGCATTGCATTGAAGCATTGAATGAGATCCCATAATAATTTAATATAGATTTACAGTAGTAACAATAAATTATATTTTATTATATGATTAATATATTTTTTAAATATGATGGTTTCATTATAAATATGGTCTTTATCTCTAAGGTCGACACCAAACTTAGGCTAATATATGATATTTGCCATCTGAATCTAACCATTTGTTTATTATTGTGCCTTTAGCTCCGACAGCATGGGCGCCTTTTACCCCAAAAACCATACTTTTACATATTCAAGTTTTTGTCACCTAGTGGTTTAGAGGAAAATCATTTTACCCCGGTGCGCCTTTAGCCCAGTTGTACCCTACTCATTGAGGCATTTGTGTTTTTCAATGTATTGTATTTTGAATTTATTTTTATGTCATTTTATTATGGGAGTTACTGATGTTTCCCATACTGTGCTGAGTACTGTTGTTTTAGCAAGGGCTTTTGGGGCCAAAGTGCATCACCCTGCTCAGGAAACATCTGGGAAGTCAGCGAGATTTGCGTTTCCCCTTCTGTTTTTCCAAAATAGATGGAAACTACTCACCCCGGGACTAAGCTTCTGTAAAGCACATCAGTCAAAATCTGATATCTACCCCAGAATTTCCAGTTCATTGTCCATACTTGGATATATAAATTATCTGTCCCATTTACAATTAGAAAGAACAATGAAGAGCCCTACTTAGAAAGCAAACTACTAAGTACACTATATGGCAGTTTTTAAAAAGTGCTTCCCGACCGTCTCAGGAAAAGTCATTCTTCAGCTTCTTCATTATGCTCAGGAGATTGTTTGTGCGTATTGTGTTTGCCATAACACTGGTAAGCAGGCCCAAACGGAATCTGCAGACCTTTTCACATTTTCTGTGCTTATTTTAGGGGAAATTTTGTTGAATAAAGTGTTTAAATGTTTGTTCAAATTTGTAATATGAAACTAAAGTAGTGGTATACACTTATTGGTAGCTGTAGGCCTAAACAGGAACATGTTCTGCAGGCACAGATTCCGTGTGCGCCTACTACAAAAGGGCTGATTTCTGAATGAATCTTAACTTGTGTATTGGTTTGCCATAGTGCAACGTTTTTATTTAAAATATATTTTAAGCTTGTGTGGAATGTTTCTAATTTAACTCGTGTATCATTCATATTTTCAAAATGTAAACGTGTGTCATTTGTGCATTTGTACATGGTCTTCTGAATCCTCCTTCCAGATTATGAATCTCTGAGGATCGGTGGTATGGTCTTTGCCGTGATACTCTTCTTGATGGGCATCTTCCTCATTGTCAGTGAGTGCCAAACTATCTGCGTACTAGGCTGAGAACGAGTTATGTTTTAATAAATGTCACGGGGAGCATGGAGTTGGTGAAAATGTAGCGTTTTTATTGCATTTCTTACAAAAACATTATATACTGCATGGCATCAAATAGATAGACACATTTGAACAGTTTATGTATATTTTTGTCGATATTGGTCTAAAAAGTGTATGCGTGCACACAGATAAACAAATATCGGTTACTCAGGGTAGACTGGTTTCAGGCCAGCATGTCTTTCATAACCTCTAAGTTTAAACCTCTCTACGATACCCAACACCGCACCATGCCTTATGCCTTATGGTGTTCCTTCAGTGCAGGGACAAGCAGCCAGTCTAACCCTTGACTCTCTCACTCTGAAACCCCCACCAGCCCACATAAATTACTACTGAGAAGCTGTCTGTTATACAGACCATATGAGTTGTTTATAAGGACAGCAATCTGGCTGTTTACCTATGTGAAATTTCTCATGTTACAAAGCAACATGTTACAGGAAATGTTATGTGCTACTAAGACACCATGTGAATGTATTTCTCTTGTATGTAATAAACCACTTTGTTTGGGTCTGATTTCTGGTTTGTTTCCTATAGGTCGGAAATGCCGCTGCAAAGGGAAAAAGTCAAAGTAAGGGGCAAAGAAAACTATTAATGAATCTTATTCTACCAGAATGTTCAGGCTAAAGCCAACAGAAAGCTAATTGCTTTGACACGGACTTCTGTGTGACACTATTCACTATTGACAATGGCCCTTTTTGCCACCGAAATGTCGCTAATGTGACCACACCTTTAAAGTCAGCATGAAACAGAAATTGTAAGTCTTTTCCTCCATATTTTCACACAAACCGCTTTGCGTTGACAAAATGGGACTTGATTTTATCCATCAAAAATTGGTTCAATGGTTGTGGTTTGCTATTGCTGTATGTCATGTGAGTAGGGTGATCACCCGTCCCGCTTTGCGTTGTGCCGCACAGCATTTTCACCCCTTGTCCCGCAGGTCGCATATTGAGAAAATGTCCCGCATTTTCATCAGATTTGTTTTTAACTGTCATATTAAGAAAACGTGCATCCGTTCTTTTGCCTTTTTAAGAAAGCATTTTATTTATTCTTTTTGCTGCGTAGTTTTTCACCTATTATACAGCGCTTCGTCAGAAGTAGCTACAAATACAACAGACGTTTTTTAAATCATATCCAATGGTTGAAAAGAAAGGAGTAAACACGGTCACTAGTTCCATGTGTTCCCTGTCAGAAAACAAATGGATAATTCTGTCAATTAAAATTTTAATTGAACAGAATTTATCAACTTGTTGCCTGCTGTGGTTGTTTTAATTCACATCCTTTCTAAAAATATGAATATATATTCTTAATATATAAGACGGTCAATGATCTAATTTCATGTTGTTTTATATTTTATTTGTTCATTGTTTATTTTGTTGGATTTTAGTTGGACTTGCTCAGAACTGTTTCAAAAATAGTTATCTGCATGATGCCTGCTGCCCTTGGGCTCAGTGATGTTGAATTTAAATGACATGTAAAATAAAGACATGTTATGTTACATTGTGATGTAATGGTGTTTTCTGGAAGGGACTTAAGAACAAAGAATTGTTATCAGCTGAAAGGCAGAATACAAATGTTTTTATTAAGTTAGATAGACATATAACAGTTTCAGGTTATTCTTTAGTGTTAGTAATATGTCCCACATTTTCCCACAAAAACTTATAATCGTCCCACATTTGGTTTGTTTGATGGTGCTCACCCTACATGTGAGTGACAGGTTGCCCCGCCCTCACGCCAGTAAACATTTCATCAGAGAAGAGAGAGGTGCAGAAGGGCGGGGAAGTTATTTTGATTAAAGATTAAGAGGGCATGCATATTGAATATTGCAATACTCCTTAAAAACAAGAATTGATCATTTTGTTTTCATGCTGACTTTAATAAAGGTTCCAATGGTGAAACCTGGTTTTGTAATCTTAAGTAGATCATAGAACCATTTGCGATCAACTTTGAGATGATAGATTTCTATATAATCTCCATTTATTTCTCTGCTGTTCAGAATAGGTCTTTTAACTTGTCGCTCTTGTTGTCTCTTTATCTGCTTCACAGGCCAGTGGGAATTGACACAGAGGCAGCCAGAGGTGAGAATGTTCTGTTTTTTTGGATTCATGACACTTAAAAAGAAACAGACCTTTACTGTATTTTTATTGCAGGTGCAAAATAAAGTAAACCGAGGGAACAGAGAAACAGGTGACACTGCCTCTCCTTTTGCATTTATTGTGATGTTATATATCCTGCATAAATGTTTAAGACTATCTCTGCTGTCCTTTGGTTCCTTTTGACAGAAAGCATGGCTTCTTAAGGAGAATCTTAATCAAAACTGTGGCTATTTGGAAGAAACGGTCCCTTGAGGATTGAGTTCTAGTGTTCACCACAGTTTTTAAATTTGTATGGCAATATTTCTTTGTCTCTTGGATGCATGACAGTACGAGTGCTCCTTTTTAAAAATCGGAAAGTAAAAAAAAAAAAGAGTTTCAATAAAACTGTTAATTCTCAGCTAAACTACTTTGCCATAATGTTTAATTCAGCACCTGATATCTGTGAGATTTGTGCCAAGTTTTTGTCATGTGCTTTTCAGCTTTCTGTGAAGTTTATGAAATGCGTAGTATAGTATGTGTAAGGGTTCAGTAGCTAAAGGAAATAGTAGGCATTTTTTACATTTTGTAAATTGTCCTTCCAGTTTTGTCACTTTTCCGAATTGACAATAAAGCTGTACACTGTAGTTGAAAATAAAGTGATTTCTATGGAATTTCTGTTAAGTGTCATCGAGAAAATGACGTGACGGTTATGTGCTTGGCATCTGCCCTGTCAGTCTCTCCTATTCAGTGTGTTATAAATAGTTGACCCTGTTATTAGTAATATTAGTACAACCAGTTTGATCGTGTAGCTGATTTTGCAATAGTATTTAGATTCTGTAAAAAAAATCAAAAAAAAATCTCTGCATGTTAAATATATCATATTATCACGGTTCTCTGCTATATTTAATTATAATTGGTCAGTGTGCGGGCAGATATTTCTGTAGAATGAATGTTGCAGCAAATCGCCACAACTTGGGGTAGCTCATTGGCGACATCTTGCGATTGAAACCGATTACTACGACAACAAATGCTAATAAAAATGGCATGTTACGGGAGGACTCCTAAATTAAAGGAAAAGGCGAAAATATCAGCCTGAGGAACAATGAACCGAAGAGATGCATGAGAGCACACTTTAAAAAAAATCTATATCGATAGATCGATGGAAAAATAGATAGATATTCTTAATAACTATATTTATAGCATTTTATAACACACCTTTCCACGACATGATCATTTTTTAAATCTTATTTTCACTTTAATACTAACATTTTCAGGTTTCTAATGTCCAGTGATAATTTGGAAAGAAAATGATCAATTGTAGCAATTAATGCAACTTTTATTGTAGGCCTACGGAAAGGGGCAATTAAAAAATACACAGAATTTGATTTTTTTTTTTCATTTCCTTGCTCTACTTTTTCATTGTTTTTAATGTAAACATCCCCCTAGATGTGATTGACTGTTGCGCTCGCAATCGCATATCTCGCTTCAAGTTCCATGTGAGTATCGATCTGCAAGACGCGGCTTTCTAAAACGCGGCACTCAAGTTAGAACAACTTTTGAAAAACGCGTGTCTAGGCCTGCACTAATCTGCGTCTCGCGTTTTAACCGCAAAACGCGTCCTATTATATGTGAACGACTAAAAGATAAACAGCGCACGCTTATTTCAGTGCTGTTATTTAAGATAACAGTTTGCCTCGTTCATTCAGTTACAGCATTAACACCAAGCCAAAGAGGGCAAGGTTTCAACTGAACTAAGCTATTTTAAACGCTTATGTTCTTGCTCCGTTCATGGAATAAATGCACGTTCTTAAATGAGCGATGTTTTCTAGCGAATTTCGTCTGGGTTTGAATAAAAAATCTAATCAGGGCAGTATAGCCTATCTATTTTAATATTTACGCTGCAAGTAATTATGATGATGATACATAGGTAATTACAAAGATGACAAGTTGGAATTCACACCTTGATGTAGCCTATGCAAACATTTCTGCCCGTTATCGCGTATTGTCAGCCTCTACTTTTCTGTTACAGATTGAAGCGCGTGACGGACTGCGCCGTTAATTCAAGGATAAATAGACCAGCTACTGCAAATTTCTGGTGTTATTTTTGTGATTGTTTGGGGCATTCTACAGCCCTTCATCAAACCTTTCAACACAGAATCCACCTCAGATTGCTTTTTATTAATGCACAAATCGTAAAAAAAAAAAAAAAAAATTACCTAATACTATCTGTTCCTAAATTCTGATTGGGTGGGCAAGGCAGACGTTTGGCTGAGCCCACCCCTGTCCATACCTACATTGCCTAGAACCGGCCCGGTCCAGTCCTGCAGGCCCCGGTCCTGTTGCTGCATAGGTGGGGTTCGGTGTGTCGCATGTATTCGTTGGGTGGGGGTGTTTGGCTCAGGATCCCCACCGCATTGGACAGCATGCATTTTATCTACCCAACACCAGACCCGGGAGCTTCCCCTACCGAATTAAAGGGAACACCGACATATCTGCACCGCTAGGGGGTGTAAGTATAACTCTCGAAGCCCAGCATCGACGCAGTGCTCCTCCACGCCCTCTTCTCTTCATTCACCGTGCTCAATTTCAGCCTGTAGCAAGATCAAGGGAGCCTTGTCTAGAAACAGCACTGCAGTCATGGCAGTTTCAACAGGTTTGTCTATTTATTGCATTTGTATGCTTTTACAGATGAAACCGCATGGTGTGGCATGAATAATCAAACTCATTTTAGAACGTGCATGTTAAATAAGTGAGACTTTAGATGTTAGTCGTGAGTAGGCTATAACTGAATAAAAAAAAGAATAGTGTTGTTATGCAAATTCTGTTATTTGACAGGAATTACTATTATAATTGCATATGGCTATATGAATGTCCTATGCATATTCAGGAATTGCAGTCTGATTTATTTTTTTATTTTTTTGGGGTACTACTTCGATGGTATTGTTTTAAAACTGTTTTAATACATTTAAAATGAAAGCAATGCATTCTTTGAAAGCGCCGTTATTGAACGATGGATTTAATTAATTATTCACGAAAATGAAAATAGTCAACCCCGTATTAATTACTGTTCCCTTGAACACAAAATGTTGAAGAATGGCAGTCTCATTCACTCATCTTTTCTTCTATACAATGAGAATGAAGAGTGGAATAACATAAGGGTGAGTATTATGATGAAAACGTTCATTTTAGGGTGGACTATCCCTTTAAGAGTGAATGGGGGTGCTGAAAATCGCTAACTAAGCAGTTGCAAACCCCTGAAGTTCAGCACCGCATCATTGCGCTATAGTGCAGTTCACGAGACAAAACCTGTTTAATTCAAAGATGTATTGCATGTTAGTTTGTGGGTTGCTTTCCCCCCTCTCCATATAGGTAATAAAAGCTCCGACTATTGGCAGTTTGAACAGCTTTCTATTGATTCTCATTAGAGGAAGGTCCACACGCCTGTGGAGACTGCAGGTTCTCAGAGCGCGTGCACATCCAACCGGCTTGTCGCTGAGCTTGCAGTCTCGTTATGCAGATAATCAATCACCCGAATTACTGACGATTTCTGCTGAAAACACCTGAGTTTGCAAGATACCTTGTGCCTCGTCCATGGTCAAAAGCTAATTGAAATCACTGTTTATGTGATTAATAATTCAATCGATTGCAGTCTGAATGTGTCTCAGCGTTATTCAAGAGCTCATAGACTCTGACAGTCCAGTCTACTATTCCCATATTTATAGATTTAATAAACCAGCATCTGTCCATGGTGCTGAACTCTGTCCCCTGCATTGTTTTCCTTACTTCACTCCACGTCTTCACTGGCATCACATTGCTGCTAGGTCCATATTAAGCCTATCGATGTTTCTTTTGTTTCAGGGTTGTTAAACATATTTAAATGTATTTACAGAGTCATACATGAATTTGGACCAGAGTGCCTTTCATTATGGTAAGCAGTTGAGTATTGCATGGACATATTTATTTATTTAAAACATTAAGGCCCGGTTTCACAGACAGGGCTTAGATCAAGCCAGGATTAGGCCTTAGTTCAATTAGGGCATTTAGCTTTTATAAACGTGCCTTAGAATAAAACATTACTGGTGTGCATCTTGAGACAAAACAACGGCACTGACATATTTTCAGATATACCAATGCAAGTTGCTTCCAGTTAAAACAGCTCAAACATGCATGTTAGTCTGGGACTATCTTAAGCCTTGTCTGTGAAACTGAGGGAAAGTCAGTAAAACAGAGTATTTCACCACTCTTGATTTCTGAGCTCAGATTACGAGACGTTGCGGACCACAGGTGTCATCCTAGCTGTGATTATGTTCGTTGGTGGAATTCTTATTGCTCTGAGTAAGTCACTAACATAATAATTATAGACATGTTGTAATATAGGATGTGCTGAATGAGTGCAAATAATAGTAAACGGCTGTGATGTTAGATTCTAAATATTTTCATCATCAAGCGTGGCATTCACCTGACAATGATTGTAGTCAATCCCATTTTTACTTCAATCAGTGCAGTGAACACAAGTCAATTCACCAAATCATTTGTCTGAGTACTTCTGCAATGTGAAAAATGTTGGTCAATTTAAATGAGATTGAATTGATTCCTTCCAAACTGAAACTGAATTGACCCCAATCAAAGTCCCTTTTCAATTACATAATTCACCTTCTCTAAATGTTTTTTGCCCCAACAGGTAAAAAGTGCAAATGTTCGAAATCCAAGTAAGCGCTTTTCACACGAATGTGCAGCCTTGACTGTGCATGTGGAATGAGCCCGAATAAAGGATGAGGAAACGTCTTGAACGAAAAAAGATGTACATGGAATTGATGGTGCCATGAGTGTTCTCTGTAAAGCTCCTTTATTGTTTGAATGCAGCCCCTGGTTTCTAAATCGATTCGTTTTTGAACTGACCAGATTCTTCTTTCAGCTCACCTACACTGTCTATTCATTCAAACAACACGTTTAAAACACACGACCTCATGTACGGCTGTCGTGCTTATAAACACTGAAGTTAAGACAGCAGAAAGTTTGTTGTTCTTGTGCTTCCCAAATTAAGAACTGAACTATGTGCTCTTTGTGTGGGTAGGCAGTGTGTATCAAGACAGTTAAAATGCTCCGCATGTCCTCCTGAGAGGATCTGAATCGTCAGGCACTTGCATACAAATCAACCGACAATACTTACATTTGATTAATGCGGATGAGCATGCTTGCTAAATATGGAGTGCTTAAGATGGACCAGCGTGGCTTATTGGCATAAACTGTATGATTTTTTTCCCACTACAGATCTAGTCCAGTGGAAAGCCCTCAGCCACCACAGACAGAAGGTACATCCATCAACATTAATTAATGTTCTATTCAAAAACACTGTCAGAATTTATTGAACGCCTGATTGATTTCGCCTTTTTTCCTTTTAGTTCCCCCTCAAACGGTGTAAAGCTGATGGTGCAATGGGGCGACTCATTATAGTGAGAGGAAATGCTCAGACTCACAAAGTTACTTACAAGAATGTGGAGGAGAGTAGAACCCGCTTGACCTCTTTTTGTAACCTCCGCCTAAATGCTGATGTGTGGCTGTATTTTTAGGTCTCTCAGTAGAACATGTGCTTCATTATGTCCTTTTGTGTTTATATAGTGCTGATGATACCGTTCATGATGCACCTCATATGACTGCAGTTATTTGACTTATGCATGAATAGTTGTGATTTATTATATGAGGGCTAGATCTAAAGGCATTTTTTGGAAATACGATTAGCAGACTGATTGAATGACAGATGTTTCATCGAATAGATTTCAAATCCTTTAGACAGATATGATGAAATTGAATTGAACACTGGTTTACATTTTAATAAAGAATAAACGACTTCTTAGCAGCTCTCCAGCATGGAACTATGCACAATCCTGTGTGTCGCCCTGTGTAATTTGTGCATGGCAGGTGTCAACAAAATGTAAGACAATTGTACAATTTGAGTATTTATCTCTTGTATTATATATTTATTATTTTAGTTCCTGAATATTTATTATTTGTATATTGAATTATACTATTGGATCCATTCCATCCATTTACAGTTTTGACAACAACTGTATAAGATAATCTAAACATGCACAAACATCTTTTCGTTTACTAATTGTAAGGCCGTTTATTGGATCAGTAAAGTCAGACATCATTATGCAACTGCGCATTACTTTATGGAGGGCATAGAAACTAAGAAAGTCTTGCCTTAAGAACTAATGGTGCAACAATCAACCAGTAGTTACTTACTAAACCCCTAATATAACTTAACATTGAAGTAACACCTCACGAGCAGCTGGTGGAACCTTACCTTGGAGTTAAACATGATCTCATGTCCATTGTAACAGCATGAATGTTTGTATACTGTTTTCCAGTAAACAAAGCACTTTACAGTAATACTTCAATTACTCCCAAACTAAAAGCAACTGATTTAATTGCAACTGAATGTATTTATGTCTCATGAACTAATAAATGAAAAAGCATCCATATAACTTTTAGAATTATGAATCACTGTGCTTCTGTTCGCTCGGCATGTTTTTTTGGAGGAATGCTTATGGATTCATTACAAGCCATTATACTGCAGACGTTTTTTTTGTGTGTATTATGCTTTGAAATGAAGTTATTGAGTATGACTAAGCAGCAGTCATGTCATAATGACGAGTTCGATACGGTTATATGAAAATGAGTTTTTATTATTCATCCAAATATTAGTCATATACCAAAGACATTTGTCTCAATAAAAGATCCTGAGTTACAGAGGTTCATTCTTGGTTTTTACTTTGATTAGCTTTACTTAGTTTGGCTTGGTCAGTTGACATATAATGCAAAACACATTAATAAAACAATAATAATTTGCAGAAATACATGAATAAGTTGATCATAATGATATCACTCTCCATAAACAATATTGTAAAACATTGTACATTCAATCAAGCAGATTTTAATGCTACTTCATATTCTCACAGAATTCGGTTTTGTCAGATGGTTTCATTCACTAAGTGTTTGTGATATTTATTAAAAAATTGAGAAAACTGTCATAAATGAATGCACTTTGTTTTCAAACTAATTCTCATAAATCCACAGTCCTCTCTTTGTTTTACAAGAAAGTGACATTAGCGTGTGTTTTCCCTCATTTGAATTTCCATAGGGACATCATGGTGAATCATGTATGTCTCTGACTCAACAACAAAAACAACAACAACAACCTCCAACATTTGAAATCTTGATACAAGATGGACACGATCCCCACATACAAAAACCCTTCCTTACTATTCCACTGAATTAATATTGTTAAATCATATTAATGATTGTGACTTGATTCTGAAAGGTCTTGAAGACAAAACTACTGTACCTTCCTACCTCAGAACCCCCTGACATTTCACCCCCTCGTATATGACTCATGAAAATAACGCATTCACATACATGGTCGGATGACACATCTCCTATGATATCAAGTGTGCTGCTGAGAAAAGTGCATTACATAGAGAACTGTCATTCATATCAAGCAATGAAATAAATAACTGACCTTTCCCCCTGAGTGAAAGTAACACAAACAAGAGCACGGAGAATAAAATGCAACACACACTAACCAAAAGCCATATAAATACTTCTGAAAACAAATAAAAATATCCCACTGATACAGTGATTTTAAAAGTGCATTTAAGCAAACCAATATGGTTTATAATTGAAGGTGGAAACTTGACTGGTACACTGACAGTCCTGATGATTTCATTGAAATCTCTATTCAGGAACTTAGTAAAATGCTGATGTTCAGCATTTAAATGAACTGGGAAGCAGCTTTATGGTACAGGATCGATGAATGATCCTTCAAAAAAGATATACTGTCATACTAAAATGATGCAATAGGTGAAAATCCTCATAAAAGGATACTGAAGATAAACCCATCCTTCTCCAGAGATGATCTAGATTCATTCTAGTCTAGGACGACTGTGTTTGGGTTCATTTTAAAAGCTCTTTTTGCTATTAATTATTTGACAAAGGTCCATTCAATCAATAATTGTTCTTATCTACATATTGATGGTGAACAGTTAATCGTATTATCAAGACTGATGTTTCATGTGCGTACTGTCATTTGCTCTAGACCTCTATTGGAGAAGGTGGGGAACGCTGGGACTGATCAGTCCAAGTCACTATTGGTCCTGTAAGGATGTAAAACGCCGCCTAGAGGAGGCACTTTTCTTCTTCAAGATGAGCTTGAGCTGAGGGAGAGAAAGAGTGAGAGAGGAAAAAGTGGTGTCAGCTAGTGTGTTCTTCTCATTCCATGACGTTACAAAACAATGGAGCCATGATCAAACTGTACAAGAGAATGTTTTTTATGGTTTGCACGGCACTGTACACACGAGTCCTTGCAGACTGGTTGTTATTAAATAAAAGCCTCTCACTCTCTCTCCTTTGTCTCCGCTCTGCAGTAAGTGAGCGGGCTGGTCGTTCTCCAGGTTGCGGATGCTGGGATCAGCACCACGACTCAGCAGCAGCCGGATCAGTTCCTCCTGATCGGGGCTTCCGTGCAGCCCTGCGGCCATGTGTAGGGCAGTGTGTCCGTGAGCCTGAGAGGAGACAGACAATATATAGATGATGATGTCACACTGTTGTACGCTGTAAGTTTATATGTACTAGAGTTCATTATAGTATGGGGTAAATGTAGTGATGATTAAATCACATTATAGTCCGTGAATTTCATTGGGAGAGCGACTTGTCACTGAGCTTGCCTTGTCTGTGTTTGCGTGCTCCAGACAGGCTGTTAGTGGTGGTTATTTTTCAGTGACTCTTTCTGAAAGTTGCACAGTTACTACAGTCGTCCCGTTAGGGGTCACCCCAGCAGTATTATCCACACAGCTTTTTACACCGGATTCCCTTCCTGACGCAACCCAACACTGAGACTCACACACTTTGGACTGTGGGGGAAACCAGAGCACCCACAGAAAATAGGGAGAACATGCAAATTCCACACAGCTCAGCCAGGGCTCAAAGCAAGGACCTTCTTGCTGTGAGGCTGGCAACAGTGCTACCCAGTAACCACTGAGCCACCACGCCACCCCAAATCATCCATCCATTCAGTCAATTCCTTCAAACATACAAATTCTTTCAGGAACAAAAAAGCATCTGTCTTTGTTTGCTAGTGATTAAGCCTTTCACTAAACTGATTCGTTGAAAAACATGGAATCATTCAGGTACTAAACAAATAAAGTATTTATAAGTGAGTCACTGGGTCGTTCACTCAACCGATTCATTTAAAAAAACTCTGAATCATTTAGGAATGGGTTGTATTTATGTGATTCCTTGAATCATTCCACTGATTCGTTCAAAAATAGGGAATCATACAGGAACTATACGAATTACTGTATGAGTGAGTCACTGGGTCGTTCATCCAACTGATTCGTTAAAAGAAAAATGCAGAATCATTCAGGAACGAAACACTTCTTGTTGTATTTATAAGTGATTCAGTGAATATTTCCACTGATTAGTCCAAAAACAGGGAATCATACAGGAACTATACGAATTACTGTATGAGCGAGTCACTGGGTAGTTCACACAACTGATTCGTAAAAAAATAAAAATAAAACTCTGAATCATTCAGGAAGGAAACAGGTGTTTTTTATGAGTGAATCAGTGAATCATTCAACCGATTTGTTCAAAAACACGGAATCATCAGGAACACAACAAATTACTGTAGCCTATTTAGGCCTATGACTGGGTCGCTCCCTTTTACTGTCTATGGGTCACTCAGCCGATTTGTTAAAAACTCCACTGATTCATTCGGGAACGAAACAGGTGACTTCATTGATTCAATTAATTCAATTTAGCCTACCGATTGGATCAAAAACACTAATTTAGTAAGTCAGTCACTACATCTTGTTCTTTAGACTGAGACGCGCAGCAATTAAATATGCTTTGGCTTTGTTCAAAACTTATTCTGCTGGCAGAGAAAAAACAGACAAAATAACTATATTTTATCTAAAATGTAAGTTAGCCTACTCAACTTTAATTTCCTGTTTACACCTATAATAGTTCAGTTGGTCTAAATTTCACCGCGGCTGCGATTAACTGCGACACGAGGCGTGTGGATATTACCTACTACTTATGATTTCGTAGGTAAATGAAAGTCAATACAATATCATGTTTCTCACTTTCATGTTGATGAACGCTTGCATATTGGAGAGTTGGAGGCTCAGAAGGAAGCGCACGAGATGGATATTCCCCTCCTTCACTGCCAGGTGAAGAACGGTCTTGTTGCTTTTGATTTCCTGAAAAAGACAGAGGCATAGTCTGTCAACAAAGTGAAACTGAAGCCACATCAAAGCTGGCGTGGCATGAATGAAGTTTCTTCCTTTTGCGGCATTCTCAGAACGAAACCGCGCTATATGGAACAATGACAAAATCAATTGTTTGTCTGTCTGTCAGAAAGGAACATTTGGGAAATATATCTTGTCTTTTCCTATACCTATAAATATCTACTATAATTTGTAAATGTCAGTAACTGTAATTTGTGTGTTTGCTGTTGCTAACTTAGCCATATTACACCATGTAAAGAAAAAACAACAACAACAGTTCCTTCAACAGGTGCCCACCAATCATATATTGATTTATACTGTTACAAGATTTCGACTTTAAATAAAAGCTCTTCTTTTGTGCTTTATATTCTTCAAATAATCCTAAAAAAGGTATCGCGCTTTCCACAAAAATATTAAGCAGCACAATTGTTTTCAATATTGAGAATAATAAGAAAAGTTTCCTGAGAACTAAATCAGAATGATTTCTGAAAGATCATGTGACACTGAAGACAGGAGTGATGATGATGATGAAAATTCAGCTTTTTCCATCACAGGAATAAATTACATTTTAAAATATATCAAAATAGAGAACAGGTAAGTGTCCCGTTAGGGGTCACCCCAGCAGTATTATCCACACAGCTTTTTACACCGGATTCCCTTCCTGACGCAACCCAACACTGAGACTCACACACTTTGGACTGTGGGGGAAACCAGAGCACCCACAGAAAATAGGGAGAACATGCAAGCCACATCAAAGGTGTTGGGGGAACACCTTTGATGTACCTTGTTCATTATGTTTAATAGTTACATTATACTTTTCATGTGGGGTGACCCCTAACGGGACACTTACCTGTTCTCTATTTTGATATATTTTAAAATGTAATTTATTCCTGTGATTAAACAAATACCTTGTTCTGAAGTGTAATAATATTTCACAATATTACTGTTTTTACTGTCTTTTTGATCAAATAAATGCAGTCTTGTTGAGCACTTCTTTCAAAAACATTAAAAAAAATCGCACAAACCCCAAACTTTTGAACAGTGGTGTGTATGATACATCAATAGCTTTATTTTGGTACTTTACACGTTATTATGGGCCCGGCTTAATGTTTTATAATATGTATTATTTAATGGGTGTCTCTGCTCTATCTGTATATCCACCAAGGGGTCATTTAGCAATAATGAACACATTACTTCATTACCATTGGGTTTAAAACTGTACTGAAAATACAAAACATTAAAGAGTGATTAAATTGAGTACCTGACTGAGAACTGAAGCCCCAGCATTTATAAGAAGCCTCAAACACGTCAGTTTATCTTCTGCCTGAGTCTGTAGACCGCCATCGACCAGCCATGTTGAGGATGAGGAGGAGGCATGTATAGCCTTCATCGTGGCACAGTGAGAGATCACTGCACAGTGCAGAGGAGTCAGACCTAAAGTTAGCAGGCAGAAGCAAGAGCTGTAAATTATTGGTTCCTCAGATGTAACTGTGATGCTTAATGGAGAAAATGTTTATACCTTCAAAATTACGAGCCTCCAGGTCCACTGGCAGTCCAGCAAAGAGAATAACCTATAAAATCATAGTGGTTTTGATGCATGCTTTTGTTATTATTAATGATTTGACATATGGGTGGTCTCTCACCTCCATGACACGAGGGAAACCGTAGGTGGCAGTCAGATGGAGCGCAGTTTGACCGTTGACATCACAGATGCCGATGTCCGCACCAAGAGTGAGGAGATCCTGGACTATATCTGGTTGATTAGCAGTTACAGCCACCAGCAAAGCAGTCTTGAATACAAAGGAACAAAAAGTCAGTGAGTGCATTGATAATAATACAAATTCCCTGGGGCATCATAAATGTGTCCTAGGTTTACATGCACCCAAGGTCAGAAAACACTTGAATTTTCTCATAATATACATTGTAGCATCACTTCTTTTCTCACAGAACCTGAAATAACTCATTTAAAGGAGGATTCAGTCTCTCTAAACCCCTCCTTTCTGAAAGCCTACTTTGCTCTGATTGGTCAGATGCCTCAGTCTGTTGTGATTGGATTACAATACTGAATAATACTGGACAATATTGGATAAATAGCATGCCGGAAACGAAGAGTCTATTACCATATTTGAATTTCAGCTCTGGAGGCTTCCTCAGCTCTAACACACACACACACTGATATGAACTTTAATGATGGCATTGGTTTTACCTTATCAATCTCATTCTTTGGAAGTATTGCAAAGTGGTTTTGCTTTCGCAGCTCAGAAAACAGTGTATTCTCAACACAAGACAAACCAAACACTTCCAGGCATCATTCACAACTACAGTGTTTGAGTGCGGGTCAAAGTAGACGTTATTCGCAGGCAGCCAGTGAAGACTATGGGCTGGTATTATGCAAATTTGTTACAAACTTACATAGGTTTATTCAGAGAGAAAGAATGGAATTACTGACAACTTGTTTTAGGCAGTTCAGAATCTGTTCATACAGTATAAGAATAACTATTTATTGTGCACTTTGAACTTTTCAGACCTTTTACATTCACAAACAGTTATATTACACACTACATGAAAAGTATAATGTAACTATTAAACATAATGAAACACACTATTATGAGGGGCCCTTTAACAGTATTTTGTTGTGATATTCACCTTGCCCTTGTGTTCTTTAGAGTCCAACTTCCCCAGTCCACAAAGTTTCTCCGCAGCAGCAAAAGCATATTCCCTCAGGCCTTTCGCAGTATAGATATGTAAAATCCTAAAAGAGAGGAAGAGCAAAGTTTCAGTTTTCATTTACAGTCTAACAACCTTTCTGTTTTCAGTTAGAGTCACTGTTCTATAGGACTTGCGCTCACAGTGGTTTCATTAGTTGAGAAACACACAAGGCCTTAGAAGACCCCTCTGGTGAAACACCTAATGCTGATACACTAACTGAGCAATTTACATAATGACATAATGTGTACATGACTGGAAGGTATCTAAATAAGACTTCAAATTCTATTTAGCATACAAAATTGCTACATTGAAATTAAAATGACCTCCCTGTATTTATGTTGGTTTCATGTTTTTTCAAGAATTTTTTTTAAGAAAAATACTTTTTTTGTGTACATATATTAATCATTTATTTTCAAAAGGGTTAAAAACTCTCTTATGGAAATATTAGGAATTATTTTTAGTTCATAAATATCATTATGTTCTTGGAATTGAAATTTAGCATTGAAGAACTTTTCTTTTTAAAGAAATACTAATAAAAGATAATGCCAAACTACTTAATTTTACTAAAATCATTGATCCATTTTCATAAAAAAATAAAATAAAAGACTACATATTTAAACATTCCTAAATTCATGGGGGTTGGCTAGAAGAGATTATATGCATGACCATCAATTTTGGGTCAGCGAGTTTGTTTTTGTTTTATTTTTTAAATAAATAAATACTTTTGCTCAGCAAGGATGCAATTGATCGAAAAGTGACAGTAAAGACTCTTACAACGTTACAAGAGATTTCTTTTTCAAATAAATGCTTGAACTTACAGTTCATCAAACAATCCTGAAAAATGTATCACGGTTTGCACCAAAGAAACCCATTAAGGAGTATAACATTGATTAAAAAAAGATGAAATGTTTCTTTAGCACAAAAGCTCTTGCCATCACGAATAAATTAAGTTTTAAAATGTATTAAAATAGAAAACAGTTACTTTAAATTGTCGTAATATTTCACAATATCACAGTTTTTACTGTATTTTTGCAGCCTTGGTGAGCATAATATAATTTTTTGAACAGTGGTGTACTCATTTGAAGTCTACATAACTACAGATCATTCTTCCAACGGTCCGTGGTAGTATATCTCCACCCTAAACAACATGCAGAAAATGTTCCTTTGACTTACGTGTCCCCATCATCATCCTGCCAGGTGGTTCTACTATAATCCATGTTCTGCAGGAAGACTCGAGCCTCCTGCAGCTTCACCATATCCATTTGGGCCCTGAACTCTTGGAGAACGTATTGGCTTGTGTGATCCTCTGCTCTGGATTCAGATGGCCAACACAAGCCTGAGCTCTGAACGGGGACTGTCCCAGTCAAATCAGTCCCGGCAGCAGTTACAGGGCACTCTGTTATAGACTGTGAGGAATGACAGAGAATGGGACTAAAACTTGACCAAATGAACATGATTATGTAAGAAGCCTTCAATTATTATGCTACCTCAAATACTTTTAGAGCTCTTACATATTGCTGTGTTGTCTGGGCATCCTGGCAGTCTTGCATCTGCTGAGGGCTGTAGCCAGTGGCAAGCGTTTGTCCAGTCTGGGTAAAGTTTGGTGCGATGGAGGAACTGGACATGAACGAGAAAGGGTTGCACTGCTGTAGGGAGGAATGTGCCTGATGAATGCTGGAAACTTCCCACCGGTCGTATCTAACTGCGCCCATGTCTGTGTAGCTTGCACTGGTTCCTGCAAAGGACAGGGATCATCTTTAGAATTTGAATGTCATTGAAGTCCCATTTTAAAAGCAAAATCCTCATTTAGCAGAGATGCTCAGACTCACCGACAGTGGGAGATTGTACTGATGCCAACACCTGTTGGAAACATTTTGGAGGATGATTAAAGACGTTTATATCAGCCTCAAGACAATCATACTTAGAGGTATAATAGTTTTGACTGACTGGGACAGATGCAGCGCCACCAGCAGTATAAGATGCTGTAGAGCAGGAGGGGGGTGCTGAGGAGGTCTCTCTCTTTCTCTTCTGCTCCAGGAGTTTCTTCACTGTGGGCAGAGGGTAACACGCCTTTTCCTTCGGTGCTGTGGACACAGGAATAAACCATTTTTATATTAATCATAATGTTTTTTTGTTTGAAAAGTAAAGATAAATGCTGTTAAAGAATCACAGAAAACGTATCACAGCAGCCCAACCGTTTTCAACATTGATCATTATATGAAATATTTCTTGAGCAGTAAATCAGCATATTAGAATGATTTCTGTAGGAACAGGGGACACTGAAGACTGAAGTATGATGCTGAAAATTCAGCTTTACCATCACCCTTACTTAACACCCGACCCCTAACTTTTGAACGGTAGTCTCTTTAAATCTCTAAACTGATATTGATTTATCAAGCGAGAGTCCATGCACCCTTGCCCATTATCAAGTTCATTTTCTTCATAAAGATTTCTTAATAAAGTATGTAATTTATTTTACAATTATATAATTGTGGAACTTTATTAACTAGATGGAGTGACTATCTTGTCCAAGCTAATAATCATATTTATGCCTCAGAATGAAAATAAATGCTATGAAATATTTGTAGTTTTAAATTAACAACAGTTAATCAATTCAGGAAAGGTGAGATGGGCATTTTTTATCTTTCTGTTAAATCCCAGACATTTGTTTTACAATGCCACAGCAAATGTAAGAGATTTGTTTAAGCAAGTAAAACATTTACTTCTACATATCTATCTTGCTTCATTTATTGTTGTAGTTTTTTTCAAGTAAAACTGATTGATTTCTACAGTAATGTGATTTCCCCATGGCCGTTTTTAATAGCAGGTGTCGGTATGACATACAAATGTATTTTCTTCGTGTTAGTCACTAAAAGAAACTGAAAAAGACAAGAATGCAAATATCGGAGGTTTCCAGTGGGCTTCAGTTACGTATTCTAGAGCAGAGAGAAGGAAAGTTTCTTCAAACTCTTGACCCCAAACGTGAGATAATAAAGACATTTCCACCGAAGGAGCGTAATGCTCATCCTCTCACCCGTGAGGAAGGTATTCCATTTGGAAAAGAGGTGGTGAGGTCACGTCTACCTGTCTTCTTTATCAGAAACCCTGCGTCTATGGAGAGGGTTCTCACAAGCACATTCTCTGTAACTGTTTCCTTTTCTCCGTTACGCTCTTCGTGGCAAACCACATCTTCTTCCTGCATCTGACGTATACGTCCTCTGAAGGGGCCCATCAGAGGTGTGTAAACAGATGATGCCTGCCAAACAGTGGCGGTACTGAGCCGAAATCAGCTGCATATCACAGTTAAGCTGCAATACTTCATCTAGCCACCAGGAATAAACAAGGAGGATCTTGTTTAAATATTAATCAAACTACTGCTTCACTCACAGATATTTATGTCCCAAAATGCAGTGTGAGAGAAACACTTCTAACTTATTTTACTATTTTTTATGGGCTAGTCAGAGTATATGTACCTCCATGATCATCAGATATAATAGTTTTGCCTATATAGCCTAACTATAATAGTGTTTCGGTTGATTCATCTATATATAGCTCAGACACAAGAACTGCTTTCTGTGAGATATCTAATTACAGGAAAAATAACTGGTTTCACCAAAACATTAAGTAATTCTTATGGCAAAGGGGATTCAGAAGAGGAAGGTGGCTTTGATTTAATCAGCATGGAAATTCCACTGGGCATAACCTCGAGAGGATCATTCCTTTTCTTATCTGTCTTCTTTTTTTTTTTTGTTCTCCATTCCAGTTTAAGTATACTCCACTTCTCAGCCTGTTACTTTTTAAAGCTCACTATCTCAAAATGTACTGCTCGACAGTGTACTACAGGTGGGATGTATAACAGACTCAAATGAAACAAATACTAAAAGAAAAATGATACTAAAGTGCTACATTTCTGAAAGTTTAAGAAAAACGTTAGAATAACATTGGTCAAATATTGAATGAGCTAAAACAATAATGGAGTTTAAAAAATGTCTTGACAGATACACAAATTCTTAAGGTTATATCACCGTGTCTCAATATGTAGCATAATAATTAAATTGTGATTTATTTACATTGTGTAGGAGGGGGTGAAATCATTATCTTGACTAGTTATAAGGCATTTATATATTGGACCCAAAAATATCAAACAAAATAGTAAAGTTACAGTATAGGTTTAGTGAGAGTTGAATATCACAATCACACAGTTGTTTTTAAAATGCTAGCCTATGTTTCATGTATATCTAGGCCTATGTATAAAATTAGGAAAAAGTAGTCATGGGATTTGACCCAAATTGATTTTTAAGCAAAGTTCATAAATAAGTAGGCTAGTGGTGTATGTTGAAACAACAGAATTCTAAACTAGTTTAAGTTATAAGAGTTTAATGTAGGAAATTAGGAATGTTAGCCTATCGAAGTTTGACAGACGCTTAGAATGTTTTACAAACGCTAGGCTACTCATGGTAGTGAAACACTTGACAGGCTATTCATATAGTCTACTCCAGCATAGCTATTGGCTATATAGAAAATAACAGTGGTTTTGCTGTTCGCAACAGTTTTAAAGGTCACACGACGTCTACACAAGTCTACAGAACATTGAATTTCATGCCTAAAATGTCCGAAAGCGTGGGCATCAGCGGCTGGGATACCCTCGCACCTCTATCTTGTAAATTCAAAGTCGGAAATCCCTGGCCAATGAGTCACGCGCGCGGGTGTCCTCGCGGGGATTCCGCACGTCTCACTACGCTACGGTATAGCTATATTTACTCATTAAAAAATCTTAGTTTGCCGTTTATTTAGTTGGTTTATTACACGAGACATTTGTACTTGTATAGTAGAAATGCTTCCTTTATAGTTTTATTATACAGTTAGTTTTCTTTTCGCTAGAAATTTTTTCACAAGCTTTTCTTTATAAAAATTAGACCCACACCCATTAAAAACGGGAACTGAAATTCTAAAAGTAATCAAGGGGTTTGTCCAAAATAGTCGTAAAATGAACTCAGTGGCTGACAGTATCTCTTGTTGGGGGATCCTTTATTCAAATTAGTTGTCTATTTTTAAACGGTCGTACATCACTGAACTTACGTCATAAAATAACTCATACAAACAGAAAGAGAAAAAGTAGTATTCCATACGTTGTATCCAGCTAAATAGTTGTATTTAACAGCCTATGTGTATTTTAAGAAATGACTTGGTAAACGCTTGTTATGTCAGTGTTGAATTATTTAGGTCTAATAGGAACCCGAACACTTTAACGTAGGCTACCTTTCTCGTCTAGACTAGGCGACTTTTTTTTGTCCATTTTACTCCATCAAATCAAAAATCATTCATCGTATATTCTCCAATTCCTTCTGCTGTAGCAATAAATCCTGTAAATAAAAAATATTAGTAAAAAGTCTTCGTACTCACATTTCTGAAAGTGCATGTCAGAATCCCTTTAGCTGTCTTTAATTCTCGGCTCCCACGCCAGGTGAAATGATTGATGTCAGTCGCAGAGGAGCCTCTGATAAATGTCAACTCCTCGAGTCACTGCCTGTTATTAACTGACTGACTTCGGCACGTTCCACTATGTATACAGAGAACACGTTGTTTTCCCCCCGCCCATCGCTAGCTCCGCCCTCTCCTGTTGACGAGCTGTCAAACACATTGGAGGAATGTGGATCGGATCGAGATTGAGACAGGCAGTAGTACAGGGTGCTTTCTTTGCGTGTGTCAATAACAAATATAAGGATGTGCGAGACGATACAATGGAGAAATCTTTTAGAAATTTAAAGTAGCCTACTATTTGCTAACACCTTTAATACAACCTCGTTATGTTTAGGTTAATACATTATATTACATGTAATCAATTGTAATGTATTTAATATTATTTCTATGTAAAGTAAAATGTTTTCATGATTATTTTCAGTCAAGAGTCAAAATTACTGATTCAAAATTTGAAAATGTTTCAGCATCATTATAGATGAGGTGTATGTCATTGTTGTGGATTCTTATGTTGGAATAGTTTCTGTTGCATTTGAGAAATATAATTAAAGGGATAGGTCACCCAAAAATTCAGCCCATGATTTACTCACGCTCAAGTCATTCTAGGTGTATATGTATAACTTTCAGACGAAGAGTTACATAAACAAATCCAAGGAAGTTAGTTATTTTAGTCGATAAAGTTTTAAATATGGATATTTTTCTTACACGAACGCTTCATTTCAGAAGGCCTTTATTAACCCCCCTGTGTGGAGCACTTTTATCATTGATGGATGCACTTTGATGGCCATTCACTGCCATTATCAAGCTTGGAAGAGCCAGGACATTTTTTAATATAACTCCGATTCGTCTAAGAAGAATGTCGTATACACCTGGCTTCAGGGTGAGTAAATCATGGGCTAATTTAAATTTTTGGCTGAACTATCCCTTTAATATATTAATTTAATTATGATTCATTTAACATAGAATACAGTTCATCTGTGTAAAGTTAGTTTTGCTACACCATTTTTGTCATACTTCCTTTTCCACCACATCCACTTTGATCTGCTTATTTGCCTCAGAAATTAAGCATCATGTCCATTTCCTCCATTCTCTCCACAACGCCAAAATGGTCTTCTGCTTCTTCACTCCTCCTCCTCCACCCACTCCTCCTCCCCCAGCTGCAAAAATAGTGGAGAACTTTAAATGCTTAAGCAACTCAACTGCTGTGCACTTTACAGTTATTTGGTGTGCAATGATGAGAAAAGCACACTTATTCACTTTAAATAAACATCCTGTTAGGCATTAGTGCACACTTAGTTTATTCTGAAGTAGCACTTTAAAAATCTGGAGAGATGTGCAAATTTCAAATGCTGCAAGGCCACTCTTTACTAGTTTCTTCCTGTAGTAGCCTATACGTAATTTGACTAACCTCAGCGTGAAACAACTGTAGAACTTTAAGTGCAAGATTGAGAGCCCCTCCATGGGCCCTTTAAGTAAACAACATCAAGGTGTTGTGGCTATTACAGCTTAATTTTTTAAATGGCTTTTTTCTAAAAGAGGACTGGAATTCAAGTAGGCTGTATTTAGACTGAGGCAGTGTCTGCTGGGATGTGAAGAGAGTAAACAACTTCTGTCTTCATGGAAAATTGCCCCATCTAGTGACCAAATATATTATATACATGCATGCCTTGAAATAATGGAGTTAAATTTAGGTGCACCATACATTATGTGGCATAAACAACATTTCATTACATCATCTACAAGAAAAAAAAATCTGTTATAAAGGAACTGAATCCTATGATTGCACTGTTGAATATGAATAAAGTCGAACAACTTTTCAGTAAATACGTGAATTGAAAATAAGAATAATGTTCTAAATTAAATGTTTTAAATCGATCATATAAAAATATATTCAACTGAAACACAAATCATAGAATATGCAGATAAACATGAGCATCATATTCGTGTTGATGTCCATTCACATGCCAGAACTTCTTTTATGAACTTCTTTTTGCCTTAAGAGCAGTTAAGGCCCCATAATTCAGTCTCCTTATAGCTCTTTATTGTTCTTCTTTATTTCGTTTTCGTTTTCGAGGTTCAGTCAGAAGGGACAATGTTACAGAGTAGAGTGGCACTGTCACCATCACTCTTCTGCATCACTTGTTCTTGACATACAATAGGTTTGGCTGTTCATTGTAATGGAAAGGGAAATTAACAGTTTTCAGGGTACATTATTTGTCCGTTAATGACTAACTCATACCATTAATTACAAAATGTAGCAACTATAACAGGAAATCAGAGATATAGGCCTATGTCTGATGAAAGAGGCGGCAAGTCTGTCACCTTCGTTCTTACTATTCGTGAGTGTGACAGACCACTGACAGAAAAGGGTGTGTGATATCATCAAAAACAATTGTGTGACAACCTGACCAAAATAGAGTTGTTCTGTGTTGGCTAGTGGGACGCATGCGCTGCCTATGAGATCTGTAAAGCTTGTCAGACCTCTGTAACAGACACCAAAATCTTATAGCATTCAATATACTGTATTGCACTGCTAGCTTATATATAATAATCACAGAATATTAATAATTAATGTCAATTTTTAGGCTTGTATTTGCACTGGACAAAATTGTTAATTTATTAAACAGAGATGTTTACAATTATAACTTTATAATTATTTTAGAAACGATAACAGATAGGCTATTGTTTCTTAACTAAAATACTCCTTATAAACTAAATCAGAAGAAAATAAGACACTTTTTTGATCTCATTTGAATCTATAGGGTAGGCTATTGTATGGTAGACTGTCACTACGGTACAGAGTATGGGTAAAGAAACTAGGAATGTATCACATGATTCATATCCCGGAAATACACTGCCGTCGATGGAAAAATGGCGTTAACTTACGAGCAGCTCTAGACTGTAACAAAAAGTGGGGCAGCAGTAGAGTCAAGAGACAACTATGATTAACCTGCGTTTGTCGGTTCACTTAAGTACAGAAAACTGCCATTAATCATATAAATGTATATTAATACAATTGCACACTCGACTTTGTAAAGGCGCGCCACAGATGGACAAAGACAGACTCGCAGTGAGTACATGCCAAAATAAACACGAGGAAGTAGCCTTAAAAGGGGCGTGTGATGTGTTTCATGGCTTGGAGAAATACTAATGGGAATAAAAAACGCAGACGGAAGCATTTTATTGGCGTACATAATAGCATGCGATACGGATCAATGAAAATGTTTTGTTATAAAGTACAATGTATCGCTTGATGTTGTACGCTTAACGCTTGTATCATATCTTGTTACGCGTTCCTAAAGGTGTCCTTTTCTCATGATGCGATTTGTTTTATGACCCAGTTATTATGCCTATGCTTGTAGGATATATGTCTTATTTATTTGCTCTTTAATCCAGTATGAATTGTGCATATGCAGCAATGTGACACACTGATTTAGGCCCTATTCATATATTATAGTATTAATTTATTGTAATCATATATTAAAATATACTGCAGTTATAGTATTTACAACTAATATTATTTATTTACTACTAATATTATTTTACGCAGGCTGGTGCATGCTCATGGCTGGATATGCATCACTTCATTGGTGACCTTATGGCAGCAAGTGCTTCAGTCTCTGGTCATCAACTGAGAGAGCAACGTACCGAGGAGACACTGAGTTCTGCTTGGCCCAAAGTCTCTCATCCTCCCCAGTCTACTTCATCCAGACAGAGCCAGGTGAAAAGTGCTGTCCGGTTTGCTCTGCATTCTGAGGAAAGGGAAAAAGAGCCCAGAGACCATGAAAGCCATGGTGAGTAAAATATTACAATAGACTGTTCAGTACAATTGTGTTATAATTAAATGGCAATTCATCTATCCTCATAAAGTAGGATTGCGAAACATGCAGAATTTATTGATTCCGACTACTTTAGAGGCACTTACTTATTGAATTTACTGGCCTCTGCAGCTGTGGCCAAATGATGAGATCATTCCCTGGTGATTCAACCAGGACAGATACAGCAAATAATAAATGTAATTATGTATTTAATATATATTAAAAATACTTAATATATTATCATTGCAACAAAAGTTCACAGACTTGCTAATGCAGATCAGAGGCAGCATGAATGCAATCCAATAATTTGTACTAACTATATATTAAAGAGAGATGATTATGAAAATGATAATAGAAGTCAGCTGGTCATTATCAGAAAGTAAATCCAGACATGGTGATTAGGACCATGATTATGTGATATGAGGCTCATCTATTTTTGGGAAACCAAAGTTTCATATTATATGAAACATTGGTTTCCCAAAAATGGATGAGCAGTCACTTATTCAGCGTTTCTGTGGACAACAGTCATTATTCAGAAACATTTGACAGTAATAACACTGAAAACAGAATAAAATATTCCAGAGAGCGATGTAATAAATAAAGATACTAAAATACTTCATTTATTTGTATAAAATACCACTTTATGTAGCTCTAACTACTTCCTGTAACCAATCAGTGAAGTACATATTCTTCTGAATAATAACTGGTTCCATACAAGGAAATAGTTTCATATAATCATGTTTGCCTCTCTTTTTTTTTAAACTCAAAAAACTCAAAACTAAATAATTTTGTGCATTCTCATCTCCCTCTTTTGTAGTTCAGCATCGTACCTGCACATGTCCTGGCTGCCCTCTTTCCTCATCTACTTCTAGTTCCTCAATCCAGACCCTGAAACCCAGAACCAGCCCGGCCACACAGATCCAACCACCTTCGCCCCATCAATCCACCCCGCAACAGCAGGCCAAAGAGCCCAGCCCTGCCCCTGTCGGCCTGGGATTGTGTCTAGGTTTGGGTCTCTCTTTGGAAGAGGAAAACAGAGAGCCCAGCAGCACATCTGGTCACCCCCAACAGGAAGACAAAGGCACTAGCACACACAGCCCAATCCCTCAGGCAAATCCCGAATCCTCCAGTGTCCCGCCTGTTCAGGCGTTTGCATGTTTATGCTGCCACCGTGGCTTGCAAACCTGTAGCCAACTTCTACGTCAACAAAAGGACCCAGAGGCACATGTTGCCCACCACCACTTCCATCACCACCACTGCCCTCTCACCACCTGCACATCATGTACACTCCCCTCCTTCCCTTGCCTGTCCTGCCAGCGCACCTTCCCCACTTGCGCCGAGCTCCTGCGGCATCAGCAGGGCCACGCTCAGCAGGAGGGCCTGCAGCAGCTCCCGTGCATGCACTGCAATGCCTCTTTTCCCCGGCCGTCTCAACTACTGCAGCACCAGCGAACTCAGCACGCATCCAAAGCAGGCGGCTTCCTGTGCGCCGAGTGCGGACGCGCGTTCAACTCGCACAGCAATCTGCGCATCCACCTCAACGTGCACACTGGCGCCCGACCGTACATCTGCACCGACTGCGGCAAGAGTTTCAGCCAGTCCGGGGCACTTAAGATTCACCGCCGCATTCACACCGGAGAGAGGCCGTACACCTGTTCTTATTGTGGGAGGGGTTTCCCTCACCTGGCTGGGGTAAGAGCGCATCAGCGAATTCACACGGGGGAGAAACCGTACAGCTGCGGTCAGTGTGGAAAGTGCTTTACTCAGTCTGGGGCTTTGAAAATCCACACTCGCATCCACACCGGCGAGAGGCCTTTCGTGTGCGGCCTCTGTGGGAAGAGCTTTTCGAACCGCTCCGGAATCCGCTTTCATCACCGCACGGTTCACGGGATCGTGACGGAGCCCAACTCTGTGGGCAGGCCTAGTCTGGCTGCCTCTGCATCGTCCACAGTTTCAGAATTCCAGAGAATTCAAGCCTCCAGTCTCAACCAGATCCATCTCCGGCAAATGGAAGGGAAGAGTCCAGCTAGTAAAGAGCAGTTAAGTGGGGATGGGGACAAAGCCGCTCTTCCGTATGCCTGTGAGGACTGCGGACAACGCTTTCCAGATGCTCCGACTAGAAACAGACACCAGACGTTGCAACACTACTCTTCGGAAGAAAGAGAGAAGGAAGAGAGCAGCTCAGATAAAACTAAAGATTAGACAACAATTAGAACATTTCTGACTCTGTATTTTAAAAAGAGAGGGAAGAAAAAAAGGCAACTTTAATATGTAATGTATTAAGCTAGGTATTGAGCCTGAAACATAAACGAGGCCAAGAGCTGATGTCAGTCCCCTCACACTGACTATCCGCTTGTAAAGTCATGACTCGTGACACAAGAAATACTGTTTCTATACATTTCAATTGAGTACTATCTCAACAGGTGTTTATGAGCAATATTTATTCAAATTAAGCCAAGTTAAAAACTTGTGGCGTACACTACTATCTCTGGACTCAAAGTGTCCCAGACACCAATATTTTAACGATTCATAAAAGATGAATCACTGTCTGGCCATCTGAGATTTCGGTACAGAGATAAAGGTTAGGATTGTGATTGATCAGTAGTATTACCACACAGCGTGAGCTAGCATTGTTTGTTGTTTGCTTTTGCCATTTGATGAGCATTTGGATCCAGAAATGGTGATGCGTGGTGTCAGACATAACAAGCGAAATCTTGTTTTTGGTAATGTACGATTCTTTTTCTTGTCATTTGTGCCTCTAAAAAGCTAAATTGAGACAACCTGTAACTGCACCTTAAACATTAAATCAGAAGCTTTGCCTATCAGTATAAAGGTATTTACGTTTTAAGTATTAGGGTATATACGTTACAAAACCTGGGGCCAGCTGCAAACATTATGTTGAGACGGTGTCTTAAGGTCTAGTATGACCCACTAGCAGTTAGTCTTACTTTTCGGTATCAAATTAGGCCAATCTACCTTAAATTTCAAAACTCATTTAGTCATTTTTGACTTTTTAATCATTTAAAAAGTCTTAAAGAAAAACATTTGATGACTAACTTGTAAGACTAGTCTTAGCGGTTCACGCAACCATTGGCCCCTGTTCTGGTTTTTCCACCATCAGGCTGAAAGGTTACCAGAAAGCAAATAAGGATGCTAGATTGACAACTGACAAGCGATCAGTCGTAAGTCTCATGCCAATAAAACCGTTCCACCAGCATGATTCTCCTGTCCTAAGCACGGTTAGCTAAATGTAGTGAGAAATCCAAGTGTAGGAACGGATTATAATCGTACTGTATCAAACTGTCTGAAATGCTACTCGTACCACTACTGGTACCGTTTGCAACCATTCGGCATGATGGTGGAAAAGTGTTTTATTTTACTCTTTAGCACTTTGTTTATGTATGTATGTCCAAGAATTTTGTAGTTTTGCTTGTTTTTTTGTTGTTGTTGCTTTTAATATTTCTTTTTAGTGTCCAAATGAACTTCTAATGCTGTCTTGATGATGAACTGGATAATTAAGAACATTTTCTGGTTGGATCATTTCTCATAAGGGAAAAAGTAGGCCTAAAATAGACGGAGTAAGTTCTCTGTTGTGCATTGGCTGAAGTAATAGTGCCTTTCTTAATGGGAATCTTGCAAAGCACATGCAAACCAAGACAAATATTTAGATTCTGTCCATAGCAGTCAAAAATCAAATATGGCCATCAATTGCTACAACTGTTCTATAAATGTGTATTTAAATTAAAAGAAGCTCTTGCCATATTTAAATGCATTTCAGCTTGTTGTGTGGGGATGAATATTATGACATCATTTAGGACATGTGATTTACCTGCTGTTGCTTACTGTATACATGTATATGCAGGGACTGACAGTACGCAAGACTGCAAGAGTTAAGGGGCTGCCATTTTCACAGTTGGTCAAAGGTTTGTTGTTAAAGATATCTTTAGATATCTCTGTATTATTACTCAGAATTAAAGTTTGGCAAAACTGTAATGGGAAAAATATTGTCCATTATTGTTGTCCATTTTGTATCTTTAGCATTACTACACCATTGATATATGAACCCTCCTTATGTGGTATTGTGGTTGGCTGATCATAAATATCAATGATTGTAACCTCTCAACCCAGAGCATCAGATACTTTTTGTACATCTGTCAGTTCAGCTCATGTCTACATGTACATTGTGTACACATACCAACAAAAATAAATGTTGATTGACCTTATTTGAACTTTACATTTGTGATCCTAGTGATATCAGCATAGTTTACTGATGTATTCTGTTTTGTTGATTAACTTTTAACATCTGTGGTGCCTTTCAGACCAGAACCCTTGAACCATGTCTTGGTATGATGCATTACATATTGTCAATATGAGACATGAATCGTTGTCGTTGTCTACAACAAACAAACAAATAAGCTACTACTGACACATTTCAAAACTAAAATTGTTGTCACTTGCACTTCCTGAAGAAGTCACCATTGCTGAGTCACCTACAGTCACCTGAACTTACTGTAAGGTAAATGAACTTGAGACGAGGGAATTTACATTGTGCCCTAGCTACTGTTCTGCCCTCTTCAAATTTCCTAGGCTATTTATTATTTAATAGTCAACTATTTAAGTACATTCTAACCTACATGTTTATTATTATTTCTCTTCAGTTCAGTTCAGTGCTACTTGTAGGTAAGAGAAGGTAGGCCTTAGAATATTATACTCGCCCCAGATCTATTTCACATTGAGTCACGAGTCACGACTCAAACATGCCCGCAACTTGCACGTGAAGGGAGTGCGTTTCTTTAAAAAAGCGTTTTCGCAATTGAAGCATTTTTATTTTAGCATTCAGTGTTATTCTTAATTTTTCCCCTGTTATAGCTATATATTCTTTGCACTGGGTTGTACTTATCTTGTTCAAATTCTCAAACGTTTACATCGACTTCAGCTTAATGAAAGGAAAGGTAAAGAGAACCCATGAAACTTTTCGGCTCAGCAGTAATTAGTCTCAGCAGCTAAAATATCACTACAAATTTGTTTTGAAATTAAGCAATAAGCGTCCCGGGGGCTGGTAATTATATGACTTTAACCTTTGAGACTTACCAAAAAAAGAATTGAAGGATGTCATAACAAATAGTTACTAAGCAACTGCCGTAACTTAATCGCGTCGTGAAGTATTAGTAGCCAAGGCCTAATGTCATTTTTTTTAATCTCTTTATTACAGATTCACATATCAAACGTCTATCACACAAACCTAAAAGTGCCTTCTCACATCCTCTGAACATAGTTTATGCTAGATACAAGTGATGCGTAAGCTTGATTTGCATAAAGAGTTTGTGTTTTGAGACCCTTGCACAAGTTTAACCTTGTATTTTTGTAATTTTTTATATATAGAAGAAATTAATGCTAACATTATATTAGCGCAATGTTGAATCTTTGTAACAAAAACAAAAGAAACAGCACGTTAGTAAGCTCCACCCTGTTCTTCCGCGCTCATAAATTGTGTTTACAAACTTTCGTTTTGGCAGAAGTTCAGTTGTTCTCAAACGCAGAAGTCAAGATTCTTCAAGATGACAGGCTATATTCTCCTCACTGTTCTGGCGTTCACCTTTCTCCAAGGATACACTGGTAAATTACATTTTGCTTATGTCTTTTCAAAACCATTATTTATTTAATGCATTTTACTGTTTTAACCTAAATCAACGTTCTTACCAAACGCAATATGTAGGTATAGGCCTATCTATAAAAGTAAATGAATAATAATCCATTGAGACTGAGGAGCGAATTTAAAATAATAAATAAAGTTTTTATAGTTATTATTTTATTTGTCTTATTTTTTCACTTTTTTATATTGCTGGCTGATTGCACAAAAGACAATTTACCTAAACGTTCAGAATTGCATAGCCTACCTTTAAATTGAAATCGTCTGAACTACCAACAATTTTCCGGTGAAATACAGGGACTTTTTTGCAGTCAAGTGAAAACGAAAGTGTTCCTGTTTTTGTAAAGTTATATGGTTGTAGCCTAATACAACGACATATAGGCTTATCTTATCGATATATATATATATATTATGTATAAAAGCCCCATAAAGACTGCATATGTGACAGCCCAGAATACAATTTTACACAGAAATGATTTCAGATATGTCAAGTCGCCTACAGCAAGTAAGACGAGGAATTTGCCACCTCACATGCTCACCATCTTGACCCAACCAGTTAGACGACATTTGAAGGAAATTGTATTTGTTTGAAAGCACGTTCACATTTGTTTGACAATATTAGAGAATACCTTTTTCAATTACATTGCACGTGAGACTATATGCGTGCATTTCTGTATACAGCGTTTGCTTCAGTTTAACAACACTGCACATCAGATAGCATGTTCCTGTTGTTGTCATGGCTGGTATGCAAATTATACATACCAGGAAGTTTAGAAAGAATATAGAATATTCTGGCAACTATAGAGTGGAAATAAAAAGTCTGTACAGCCATGTTGAAACAGATGTTTTTTGTGACGTAAAAAAGATAAATCATATCAGAACGTTTGGACCGTTAATGTAAAAATTAGAATCCATGCAATGCCGCTGTAAACGTGTTATAACTTCATGAGTGTGTACACCCCTAACTAACACACCATATTACAGCACTCTGTCTGTCTGTCTCAGTCTGTATTAGCGATCTTGGCTTGGTAATATTTTCCTACTCTTCTTTGCAAAAACATGCCAGATCTGTTAAATCAAGAGTTTTCAGCGGCATTGCATAGGTTGTAATTTTTCCATTAAATGTGCAAAAGTTCTGACATGAGTTTACATCACAAACAACAGCTGTTTTAACAGGGATGTGTAGACTTTCCATATAATTACATACACTGATGCATGCTATCAGATCAGAGTGACAAAAAGTAACAATTATGTTGTTTAGTATCCCATATGGATGCAATTGTTGCTTTATTCTATAAAACTAGCTAATTCAATATTGCTTTGTTTTATTACTGTTTGTTTTACAGCTGTTTTGGAGGTGAAAGGTCCATCTGAGCCGGTTCTGGAAGGACAGGATGTGACATTGGAGTGTGTGGATACAGAATCTGAGCTGAACATGAGCACAGTGCACTTTCAGAGGTTCTCTAAGGTAAGGTCACTTACACAATAGCAAGGAAATGTCTGGTACACAATGCTCTTTGACGTGCACTTGCCTGTAAATGTCAAGAAAACAGCAGATTGAAACTGAAATGACACCTCGTTTCTCACGGGAAATGAGAAGGATTTATGTTATTGCTGCTGTCTGTACATGTCCTCTGCTGTGCTGCCGGTCTGATTACTGAAGAAACAGAAAGTGAGAGATCTAAAATTACAAACATATCTGTCAGGGACACTTACTCTCAAATATCAACACAAATGCTCACAAGCTCATAGGGCAATCACAAAAAAAGAACAATATTATTTTGAATTGATTTGTCTGGAGATCAAGGCTGCAATTGGTATTTAAAGCGCAGGAGGCAGTGTGTTTTAGTGAGTTTCGGAGAGCTGTTATTCTGGGTTTAATTAGTATCTGGCAGTGAGGGGCCTTTGGAGGATTCACAACATCTGCTGCTTCTGTCAGTGCAGAGTCTGTTTGTCACATTTTCCAGCTATCTAAATGCATTCGAGCAAAAAAGGATCTCCATACCACCAATCACAAAGACAGATGTTTTGTTTAGCAAACTCTCATTAACCTGTGTTAGTGAGACCCAAGTGTCATTGCCCCGAACAGTCTAATTCCTCCAAGTGTAGCATATTTAATCAAATTTGGAAAGTGTTCCCTACATCAGCAAGATTTTCTTAACCCTATAAAGCCTACTGGATCATATTTGATACGCAATTTTCTGAGGCCTCTAAATGATCAAAACCTGGATGAAAAACCTGTTGCACACAATATACTACATGCTTTCTGTTGTCTGATTAATAGTTTGAATTTTTTAGCAAGTAAAGGGCATTTTAGTATAATTCTAAATATGTCCACCCACAGGCCGTGAAATTGTTCCTGATTCTTATAAAGTAAACCTAAGTACAACTTTTATATTGGTAGTAATATTTCAAGATTAACACTTACTGGACTGATAGTAATCATTAGGTTTACTTGACTATCCATACATCTTTTTTTTTTAAATCATGTTAATTTGTATCAAATATGATACAACAGGCTTTTGAGTAACATTTATATGTACAACTCTCAAACATCATTGTATCGCTTTGTATTGTATTTCGTCCCCCACAATAAAAACTACAGAGCTTTGATCATAAAACTAAGCACTTAACCCTTAAATGCATGAATGTTTCGCCAAAC